GGAAGACAGTCAAGTGTTACTTAAAATATAGATCTTATTCATACCTTTAAAGATTCTTAGCACTAAAAGTTATTCCTTTGGGGGCCAGAGAGATACTGCAGGTAGGATTCTTGCTTTGAGCTTGATGCTCAGATGTAATAGGACTTGGGGGAGATTCAGCTTTCTTTCATGTTTTTATGGTAGATTGTTTTTATGTGTTACAGCATTTTCATTTTCACTCTTTCTAGAATTTATTTTCTACTTAAATTTGTTTCTTATTTTGCTTTTATGTAAGACTATCTAAATAGATACTTTATTTCAGTGGGAGAGTGGGATGTGGTTAGGTGCCAGGGGTCACTCCCCACTTCTGCAGGTGCCAGGGATGGAACTGGTTCATCCATATGCAAGGCAAGAACCTTAACACCATGACTATCTCTCTGATCCTAAAGATATATTTTTTTCAAAAACATACTAAGCCTAAGGTGAAAGATTAATTAAGAAAGGTTAATTTGTAGGCAGTATTTTTAAAGTAAGTCAGATTTTAGAATTTAATATCACAGTCTTGTACACTTTTTAATTTACATGAAAAATACTGGTTTGAAAAAAATGAAAATTACAAATAACTATAGTTGGTTGAATGAAATCTTGAATAAAATTAAATCTTAATTTTACATACTTTGGTGTGGAAAAAGTGGATTATCAGAGCTACTGTTATAATCATGCAGTATATCTATGTTAAGTTTGCTATATGGAATGCTGTGTATCATGCTGCCTTTTCTAAGGTTCTGTGATTTGTGTGATAGAAAGTAGTGACATATTTATTTACATTTTTTCTGTTGTCATTATTCTTAATGATTTAATAACTTGCAAATGATATTTCAGGTATAATAATTAATTAAAAGATAAAACTGACATAGTATTCCTCGTCACCCCTGGACCCAGCCTGTACTTCATTGCCTGGCAGAAAAGACAACACATTCCCAGTGACAAAAAGAGTCTTTGCAAGGAACAAAGGAGGAAAAAAAACAGCAGAAATTACATTTAAACAATAATTTAAAATGTTAATATGATGCTTTATTGGTTATAGACTAATAAGCATTAGGTACTATGCTTTCAGATAACAGTATAACAACCAGGCCATGTTTCCATATGGGTAGATTTGTATGCTGACCTGAAGTATTTTATCCCTTGTTACTATAAAATCTTCTTCAATAGAATATCTTGAATTTTTCAACATAAAGATGATTTTTAAAAGTTAATGGGGTATTTACTCTAAAATGACAAATATATAGTTGTTATTACAAATTAAAGATAATTTTGAAAAAGGAATCGTTAACCAGGTGAAAACAAGATGAAATGATTTATGGCCATCTTATAAAAAAAATGACAGTCTTCATGTTAAGCTACAATGTAAAGTGCTTTATTCTGAGATTATGTATTGTGGCAGAAGCTGAAACTGCCTTTTTCCAACAGTGCCAGAATACAACCTCTTTTTCTTTTTGCACTAACAAGACTGCTTTACCACCACAGCCCACTCTAAGTAATTAAATCAATCCTTTGTACTTACCGTATTCTCCTCTAGTGACGGTACTAGATCTGATTATATGCTTCATGCATATTCAAAGTACCGCACTGACAGCTCTTTAATGAGCTCTTACTTAATCAGTATGAACAATGTTCATCTTGTTCTTTTTTTCCTCATGCATTAGAGCTAGGAACAGTTGGGAAAAATGAAACATCCAGCATTGATTTGAAAAATATATTGTACTTTGAAAAGTGTCTAAGCTGAGGAAGTTGCATTCTGCCCTTTAAAAGTCTGATGGACAAATTGGATTACTAGTATTGGATTAAATAACAAATGGTTAGAGGAGAAATGAGAAAAGCTCACTGTGATCACAGGCTTTAATATTTTTTGTTACTTATAAAGCTAAAGGGGTCTTTAACCAGTTATTAAAGTCAGGATTAATTTGTAATGGTTCAACTTACTGGCTTTTAAGAGCTTTTTAGATCCAAAAAATTTAATTCCCTAAAAACAATAGTATAATGATGTTAGCAGAAATTTTAATTTTTTAATTACTAGGCAAAGTATAGATTTCCATCATCGTGTACCATCTCAGATAAAGTTAGTGATACAGAATTGATTTAACCTCAGATATTTTTTCAGTTAATTTATATAATCTATGGTGCAGTATATAATATTTCTTTAAATATTATTGGGCTCATTTCCTTTTGAAACACAAGCTGAGTTATTAGACACTTTCTAATAAATAAAATATCTTTTATTTCTACCTAAATATATAAGCATAAGTTAAACAGAAAATAACACAATACCACATCAGTATTGCTACTGTCTGGGAAGCAGTCTTCCATTGGAGAAATGATGCTAATTTAAGAGTAGATAGGTTGCGCCTAGTGTTGCCTGAAAACCTCAATTATAGGCTAAATTAAACTTAAAACAAAGTTTTTATATGTCTTTATTTTTAGAATCCACACAAGAATAAAGTCTTTAGTCAGAAAATAAAATATCATAAAATTACACCTATTAATATTGCACACATGTGTCATTTCACTGATCAAAAAGGGCTTCACCAGGGTACAGTTGGCCTTATTCCAAATTGCAAGCTTTTTCTCAGCTTTTTCTTTTTACTCTTTCTTCTTTTGTTGTTACCCAGGGATTTGTGCCTATCGCAGCCTATATCACATGACCAGTGTCAAGACATCACATGGTCTAAAATGAATACAAAACCAGCAATCCTAAAAGAGATTAAAAATACTATGAAACAATAAAGACTGTTGTTCATACTCTAAAAGAATCTCCTAAGTCTGTTTCATACCATTAAGTTTTAACAGCATTTAACGATGGCACATTTTCTGACTATTTTCCCTCGTGATTAACAGCAGATAGCTATTTAATTGTTTATCTGTTATATAGTGGTTCATTGCCATATATGTTTAATCTTTTGCACACAGATCATTTGATTTTATTGTTCTGATTCTGTAACTTCAAACTTTTGTAATCTGGAAATAGTTAATTTTGTGATACATTTATAATTGTCCAAGTAATAAACATTGAGTTGCAGCTTTGAGCAGCATAACAAAAGCAAGTCATGGAATTATATATAGCATGATTTCATTTAGGTTAAAGAATAAACTGTACATGTCTTTAGATAAGGTGCTTATATGTGATAAACATACATTCTACTTCTTTGAGATCTAAAGGAGCTATGCTAAACCGTGATAGGACTTATTTTTGGAAAAAAAGGTGAAGTGAGGAATTGGAGAGAGGGAACATGGTTAAAGACAGTTTGACTTTTTACTCAGATATACCTGGGTCTTGTTTTGTTTGAATTTTTTAATGGTTTGGTAGAGTGTCTGAAAGTTAAAAGAAAATATCCTGCATGAAAACGTTAAAACAGAGGGAATTACTGGGATATTTAGTCTTTGCAATTGTGTCTGGTTTTTTATTAGATATTGAACTTAATCCTATATAGAAGTTTGTAAACTATTAATTTTCTATGAAAAACAATAAACTAGGACCAAAAAGATAGTATAGTGGGTAAGGTGGGCTGGAGCGATAGCACAGTGGTAAGGCGTTTGCCTTGCGCGCAGCTGGCCTGGCCGAGCCGGGTTTGATTCCTCCGCACCTCTCAGAGAGCCCGACAAGCTACCGAGAGTATCTCGCCCGCACGGCAAAGCCTGGCAAGCTCCCGGTGATGTATTCGATATGCCAAGCACAGTAACAACTAGTCTCACAATGGAGACGTTACTGGGCCCGCTCGAGCAAATTGATGAACGACGGGAGGACAGTGACAGTGACAGTGGGTAAGGTGCTTGCCTTGCATGTAGCTGACATGGGTCTGATTCTGGTATCACATATGATCCCCAGAGCAGCCCAATAGTGATCCCTGAGAATGGAGCCAGGAGTAAGCCCTTTACACATCTGGGTATGCCTTCCCCCCAAAATAAAAATAAGAAAAGGGATAAACTAAGGATGGATGAAATTCAGAAAAATAATAGTCAAAAAATTGTGAGGTGCCAGAGCAATAGTACAGGGGATAACCCTGAGCACTGTCAGGTGTGGCCAGAAAAAAATTGTGAATTGGACAAGGTACAATTAGGAGAAGACAGAAGAGGATGAAGGGGGGTGAACTATTTTGAGTATAATTATAACCTACTTCTACATGACAATACTAGATATACTAAATATGTACCATAGATAATAATCTTATATACTAGCCTTTGTGGGGACAGGGATATAGATGAAGAAATAATGAGTAATGAATGGTATAGTGAATGTTAAATTGTACACCAAGTAAACTTTTAATCTAATTTTAATAACATAGTGAGTTTTAAATGTGTCCCAAATAGAGTTGTAATCTTAAAGGTAATGTTTGCTGATTTATTAGACAATATTACCTTCATTTTAATGTGTTTTCCCCCAGAGATAGATCTATGTGTTTTTTTATAACCTGCTCATTTACAGTATGTTTAATTTGTTAAGTCTTTACCTTATTAAGGATGATGAGATCCGGAGCGGTATATTTGCTTTCATCTTTACTTTTGAAAAGGAAAAAAAGGAGGGAAAATGCAAGTCATTACAAGTAGAAGCTTTCACAAAATCTCTGAACTTAGCTCTTAACTTTCTCCTAGTCTTATAATTCTTATAATGATTTTTAATGTTTTTTTTAATTCTTTATCATGACTGTATGTCTGTCAGCACCATGAGTTCCGCACTGAAACATAATATACAAGACAGCCTCTGGGAAGGATTGAAAAGGTTGAAACAGGGTTTTTGGGTTTTTTGAGTTTTTTTTTACTGTATTTAGTGTTAGTAGATCTGTTCTACTAACAGATCTTTTTCAGGGAGTCTGAAATATATGTGTTGAATAATACCAGCTTTAGAAAAAAAACTTAGTATGTATTAATTAATTGAATAACTAAAATGTTTTATATTGTAAAGAGTACACTTTTGCTATAATATTGACATAAAATATCATATTAAGAAAATAATTTCCTAATAGGAAGGAACCCAGAAGAAGAAGAAGCTCTGATGCAGGAATGGTTTATGTTAGTTAATAAGAAAAATGCCTTAATAAGAAGAATGAACCAGCTCTCTCTCCTGTAAGTATCCATCATTATACTTGTTTTTCCTACAATATTGATGAATTTTTTTATTCTTCCTGTGTTATTGCCTTTGGAATGTATGTTTATTTGACTTCTTTTTTCCCTCAAACTTTAGTATATTTTATATCAGACTTTAAAAATATATAATTTTTCTTTGAGTAATATAGTTATAGATATTGAAGAGATGTTTTTACATGGCACTGCAGAGTTGCTGTTAAGGCTCTTGCCTTTCATGTTGTCGACCCCAGTTCCATCACTAATACTGCATAGTCCTCCAGCACAGAACTAAGAGTAGCTTCCCAAGCTCAGCTGGAAAGACCCATACTTTCCACATTCACCCCACCAAAATAGTAAAGCACTTGTACACTAAAAGGAGGTTCAGTTTGTATTAAAGATTAGAGAGGAAGAAAAATAAAATTGAAATCTACTTCTAACTTAAAGAGAAGTTGTTGTTTTTTGTTGTTGTCATTTTTTTGTTGTTGGGTGGGTTGGGTGTTGGATCCACATCTGGCAGTTCTCAGGACATACTCTTGGCTCTGTGCTCAGGGATCACTCCGGGAAGGCCTCAGATTCCAATGATCAAACCCAGGTCAGCTGCATGCAAGGCAAGCACCCTGCATGCTATACTATCACTCTGGGCCCAAACAGAAATAACTAAATAAGGACATAGTATATTTTGTATTTCACAGATAATGTTATCTTAAATTTGGAGTAGAGTGAAAAGATTAATGACTAACACAGAAGTAATCTTATTGTGATTGTAAAAATTACAATAAATTGGGGCTGGAGCAATAGCACAGCAGGTAGGGCATTTACCTTGCTCGTGGCCAACCCAGATTCGATTCCCATCATCCCATATGGTCCCCTGAGCTACCACCAGGAGTAATTCCTGAGTGCAGAGCCAGGAGTAACTCCTGTGCATCGCCAGGTGGACCCAAAAAGCAAAAAAAAAAAAATTACAATAAATTTTAGATTGCATATATAAGCAATATAAGCAATCTTAGTTTTTAGCATTTAGTTGTTCACTATAGTTCATGCTTCTTTATGATCACTATCCTCATAGTATGCCACCTAGTATGAGAACGAACAGCTTACATGTTTAATTTTAGCCAAAAAAAAACCCCAAAATTTATTTCTATGATGCCTAAACTTGGTGAAAGAATTACAAAGCACAAAAACTTAACTAATCCTAGATTTTTAATTGTCGCTTATGTTAAATTTGTATTGGTAATATTTTCCTGTTTCTTGTAGTTTTGTTACATGCAACCCTAAATTAAAAAGTGTATATTAGAACTATGAAAAATATTTCTCACATTATCCTTATGCCTGGCACTTAATATAAAAGAAAGAATGAAGAATAAGGCCACTCATCACAGATTAAAGTGACTTCTGTGCGATTCAAAGTTGATGGAGAAAAAAAGAGCATTAGTAAATACTCAACCAGATTGGAAGATTTTACGTTTGTGTATCATTTGTTTGGAGTAGCTTAAAGTTAAAGAGAAAAGTCAGTTATGAGTCCTAAAATCAATGTAACCTAAAGGTTCTTTAAGTGTTTAATGATTTAGTAATTAGCATATTGATGAACTTTTGCCACTTGCCTAGGGAAAAAGAACATGATTTAGAACGAAGGTATGAGCTGCTGAATCGAGAATTGCGTGCAATGCTGGCCATTGAAGGTAAGAAATTCTGTAGTAAAGTGGGGTACCTTTTTGTCAAAGATTTAGCATATGATGCTTTCATCATCTCAGTAGGTGTGGTCTGACTAGGAACCTACAGGAACTAGAAATAAACCTCTGAAAGTTAAAAAGCAATAGTTAAAACCTAGTGCCCCTAATCTAGTCATATTTATTGCTAAACAGAATTGTCTTAACTTTTGTCAGCAAGTTTAATTAACCATAAATTGAAAAATATAGGGAGCTAAGTGATTTGTCTTTTATTTATGTGCATAATGTTGTTACACTGGGATTTGCAAAAGATTTATCATATTTATTTTTAATGTCCAACTCTAAATTTAATCTTAGTATTACATTGCTCTCAACTAAAATATTTCACTGCCCAATGTGACTACAGTTCTTAAGATCCCTGATCCTTCAAGGTAATGGTTGGTATGAGATGAATGAAACACTTTCACACTTTTGTAAGCTGTAAATGAATTATTTAGTAATTCTAACCATAGTCCACTATATCAGTGAACATCAACTAGCTTAATCATGGCATTTACTATATATGATTTTTGAATATTCTTAGGTACTTTATAATTCTGTTCTCCTTCAGTGAAAATATCTTCTAGTTCAAAGATGTCTGCTTAAAGCTAATCCTTTGGACTCTGTAAAATGGATCTTTTGTCTAATCAATGCAAATTGATTTTTATATTCCATATTGACCTCTTAACCCATTGACTGTACATAGTAATTTCCTTCTTTACCTGATAAGGTACCTGATCTATATTAAGTCAATTCTAATTAGTTTAGAAACTAGGACTTTTAAGTTTGTGAGGAAAAGCCAGATGAAACCACGTGATTTTAAAATGTTGTCATTAATATTATCATTAAATAAAAATTATTCTATTTAAGAAATATTACATATTTATAGAGCTTTATCTAATTTTTAGATAATTTTATCGCTCCAGCTGGAGCGATAGCACAGCGGTAGGGTGTTTGTCTTGCGCGCATTCAGCCCTGCTGAGCCGGGTTCGATTCCTCTGCCCCTCTCGGAGAGCCTGGCAAGCTACTGAGAGTGTTCAATATGCCAAACACAGTAACAAGAAGTCTCACAATGGAGACGTTACTGGGCCCGCTCGAGCAAATCGATGAACAATGGGAGGACTCTTGTAAGAACAATCTCTTATAAGATAATTTTAATATATGATAAATATTACTGTAATATTTGTGTAGTCTCATGTAGAAGTCGTATCTTCTTTATTTAAAAGACTTCAGATTCCTTTAAGGGTTATATAACTGTACCAAAGTATACCTTTGATAATGCCTATAAAGTTTATCAAAATTAATAAGTTCTGTGAAACTTGCCATTTAGAATAAAATATATAAGTATACTAAATGGTATTTTTCCTCAGTATGTTTTTTGTGGTCAGAAAACAGTCTTTAAAAGAAATTGGAAAACCAAATAGCTAAAAAGTAGAAATAACAAATACTTATTTATATGGTATACATATATAAGTATGTAACATAAAGTGTATGTGTATATAGTATGTATTATATATAACTAGTATAGTTTATTCTTTACAGATACATAATACATTAATCTTCTAACCCTCTTATGTGTAACTATCATCCATAAAATATAGCTTGATACGCAGTGCAGCTAATGGGGCGGGGGGAGGAGTCAGAAGGTTTTTTAAGGCAGATATTGCTTCTATCCAGAAACCCTTACAGTTACCAAATACCAGTCTTTAAAGGATGACTGTGTCACATGTAAAAGATCACAGTTCCATCAGCAACTGTATTCCTGTGTAGCACGCTTAGGATAAATTAACAGTTTATCTGCCTGCTCTGTTTGCACCAGGAAAGACCAGTAGAGAGCCATACTTTAGATTAAATGGCGGGGGGGGGGAATGTTTTTCTTTTTCTTTTTAGAACAACTTTCACACATTTATTAGTGTTTTCTTTTAGATTTTATTTTGTTAATTTGTAAGTTGTCCCGTATGTGACTTTGTCGTAAATCTCTTGGCCAGTTTTTGATGTTGGTTGATGGGGGGGGGGGGGGGGGGGGGAAGACTTGAGGAAACAAGCAGCTGATGATTACAAATAAAGATGTTTTCTTAAAGAGACACCTGTCCCACTAGTTTGTTTAAGTACACAAGATTAGGGCTGATCATTTTGGTGATCAGTTCTATGAGGATAGAATCACTGGATTCATTCCTGTAATGGACTTGCAAGTGGTTCGCTAGTCTTTTGTAATCTTCAGCCACCAAGAAAAACCCTTAAGTAGGCAACACTGATTGGTTTTATTTTTCTTTCCTGTGTTTTAGAGTTTATTTCTTTTTGCTTGCCCCATCTCTTCTACTTAGTAACCAGAAAATGGTTTCAGTAATAAAGAATCTTTCCAAACAAATCTGCTGCAGAAGCCAATCATCAGGAGAAAAGCGCAGAATATTATAGCCATAGCACATTAACAGCTTGATTTAAGAGAAAAAATTGTTCAATATGTCTATTCTTCTAACAATCCATAATCACTTTGGCCTGTTTTTTACCTTTAGAAAAAGCCCTGGGGTGTTTTTCCTAGCAGGAGTTTCACTCTTCTGAGTTGTATGATCCCTTAAGCTAACAAACATCTTTTAGATAATTTTCCTATAGATTTTTTATTCCAAATTATTTAATGCCTCCCCCCAGGAAAGATAGATTTATATAAGCACACATTAGGGTTGGGCTTTAAGAAAGTGGTATGTTCATTTTCTGCACAAGAAATGGATCCTTCTCTTGGATTTTGTACATCTTGATTTATTCTTGGCTTAGAGTTTGAAGTGGATGCTCTTCTAAAGGGATTTATGCATAGGTTCACTATTTTTGTAGTTATGGTTTATATGATAAGCTTTTTATATTTAAAATCAATATGTAATCCTGTGGAGGAGCTTATCCCCTAAAACCCCATTTGTAAATCTATTTTAGCTTTGTTACACAGCACAGCCACAGTCTTCCATAGATTGATTAGGTACAGCGGTAGAATCCTATCAAATGGCCTGCTCTGATGATGATGCAAACTCTTTCAGGATTGCTAGTTGACTGGAACTAAAGATAAGACTTGACTGCAATCCCCCAATGTGCTCTTTACAAAACTAGTGTTAATTTTCATCAAAGTGCCAGGCTTATTTTTAGTGGCAAGGTTGAAAGTTTACTACAAGAACTTTAAGTCCTTTCCTATTTTAAGTGTTTATAGATATTTCTTTTGCCTCTTTTTCAAGGTAATTATCAACTTCAGCAAATAAACTGAAGAGGGGAGGGGTGAATAATTGGCCCTATATATAAAAAAGAGTTTTTAAATTAACAAAACAGCTCAGAGTAGATGGACGTAAACAGAATCTCCTTATTTCAACATTTTAGCTCAAATGTAGCATCAAAACTTAATCCTATTTGTTTTGAAGAGGATATGGCTTTTATATCAAAAGTATACTGGAATCTTTGACTTAATCAGAACCCACATTATAGTCTATGCAAGCCAAGCTATGTCTGGTATTATAGGTAAGTGTAATCCTTTCTTTAAATGCATAGTAGGTAAAATATAAACCTACTTTCAGGTTTTTAAATATTGACATTTAATCTTGGTGAACATACTGAAAAGAGAACTTTTAAAATTTTAGGCTTAAATATAGAAATGGGAATCTTGATGAGCAATAACTTAAATTTTAATAAATCATTAAGTAGTCTACTCAGTTTCTCAAATTACCATTCAAGTATGAGTATATAAATTTAGTCAGATGATAAAGCAAATAAAAGGTAAAAGTTGTGTCGCTAGTATAAAATGCACTCACTGAACATAGCCAAAGTTAACCAAAAAATTGTAGGTAAGTTATGTAATGGGCATTTTAGTATGAAAAATTCTATAAAGTTATGCTAGAATAATTAAAATTCTAGGATCAGTTAAGTATGATGGTGAAATGATGAAGAAAATGTAAATATTCATAACCTAAAGTATTTTGTTATAATTATGGAAAATACTATTAACCAGAAAAAAAAGTTAAAGTTTTCACATTTATTTAATATTTTGGAGGTTAAAAATAGATTTTCTTTTAATATTTTAAAAATCTTATTTTTAAAAATTAAATATTGACATTTCTAATTATTAATTTAAAACCTTCAAGTGGAAAGCAGGAATGATTTTATTAAGAACATTTTGTGTCTTGTTAAATATTTTTTCTTAGTTTTAATTTTTGTTATAAGTATAGTACAGAAAATTTATTTTCTAGTTCTAAAGCTTTTAGAAGCTTTGGGGGAAGAATTATAAATCAAAGCTTATGACTATAATAATTTCTTAAGGTTAAATATAGAAATGTTAGTATTATGACATAATTTCAATAATTATAAAGCTCATATAACTTAATTATACAAATTTAGGTTACTCTCTGAGTTAATATTTCTAAAACTATGATTACCTGAAGTTAGATGACCTTTAACATATTCCATCCTGGAGATTGTGTTAATTTATTTGCTGTGTAGCAGGAAACTTATTAAGAATAAGAACCAGAATAGAAAATTGTCCAGAATTCCTGACCGTAGTTACATTTAAGTTCAAAGACTAAAATTATGATAGATATGGCTTTTCTTCAATTTTACCTTTTTGTCATTTTTAAATTTATTTTTTAAATTATATTCAGAAAGAAACTTTCAATAGTAATAGCTTCTTTACTCTTTCCCATAATATAAAATGGGATGGAGTTTTTAAAAAATCTGTAAAGTGACTGGTTTTTTAATATAAAATGACCAGTTATTTATCTGTATGATTTTTTTGGAAGGAGTGTCAATAATATATGGCATGTTTCGTGGATATGTATATATTTAAGCTTATAATGAAAGAGTGACAAATTGAATAAAGCATCCTAGATTTTTTGCCGCTATTCTAACCTTTATTTCATGATGATGCATCTAATTCTTAATTTGTAAATACAAGCTAGAATTCCCTCTAGCACCATTTGCTTTCATAAAGCTGCTGAGCAGTTTGCTGTCTTGAATAAATTTTGCTTTGGAGGGGGTTGGGGGGATTTGAACCAGCACATTCTTGTGTGGTTTGTGAAGATTCACATGGTAACCAGTGGTGTGCATTGTTAGGTTTATCTGAATAAGCACCAGCCATGTGAGTTTTAACATGATTGCCCAGGGCAATGGAGAGAAGAGAGAAACCCGAAAGGATTGCACTCCTCTCTGTTTTTTGGAAAGTGCATTTGCTGGGGGAGGGGACTGTATGAGCCGGTGGCCAATAGATTTTTTTTTTTAAGCTGGTGTCCCGTTTCCCTCTAGGTCCTCATTTGTTCTGCTATCTGCCTCATCATCTACTTCTTCTTTTCATTGTTTACCTTCCTAATGAGGGAGGCGGGGTAGACTGAGGGTTGATTGACAGCTACAAGCCCTTACTGTCTGGACAGAGAGCGGTTGGCTTTGGTTTCAAAGGTGCTTTAAAATGTTCGATTTGGTCCCAGTTTTTATTAAACGATACTGCTGCTCATCTTAAGGAAATTATCAGACCAGCAAAGATCAGGAAATATATTGCTGGGGCCTAAAACCATTAAAAAAAAAAAAACCTCGTACCCATGGAAAGAGTGCTGCCCATCGGATTTTCCAACCTTTAACGTGGGGCTTCAAAAGAAGTATGCAATTTTTCCTTTGCAAAAGTGCTTTGATTTGAAACCACCCAGCAAACCTCTCCAAAAGAAAACTGGCTGTGATGCGATCGAGAGCTGCAGTGTAATATTGCAGAGCAAATTTATTTTTTACTTCAAAGAAAAATGCTAATTAGCCGATTCACTACTTTTAAAGTTATTGTGAAGCATATGGCGCCCAGTGTGAGATACATCCAACTGCTAAAATAGAGCGAAGAGGAAATTAGTGAAGAATGGGCTGTATGGGGTGAGCATGGGGGTGGGGAAGGAGGATAGTTTTTCAGGCAGATTCTCTGGCCTTTTCAGAATGATTTTATCGCCCCTCTCGGCTTCCCGCCTCCGCATTTACCCACTCCCTTCCACTAACCCTCTGACCGACTTCTCCTGAGCCTCCTCCGTCCCTCCCCCACTTGTGCTGAAATCAGGTGCGCACCTCTGGCCGACTCCGAAGTCACACCTGATCCCTTTTGCAGCCCATCTATAGCTATGTCCATATGTGAGAAATGTTTAGAAGGGTCGGGCTTCAGGGGGAAATACTCACTTTGAGGACCAGCGTTCCCATAAAACTCTAGTTAGTGGCTCTATAATAGGGTTTGCTGAGGAATACAAGGCAATTGGAAATGGCGGGAAGGGGAGGGAGGGAGGACCGGGTGTGCTCGTAGGCTCTGCGGGTGGGTAACGAGCCTCTGGTCCCCGCAGACTGGCAGAAGACCGAGGCCCAGAAGCGTCGCGAGCAACTCCTGCTGGATGAGCTGGTGGCCCTGGTGAACAAGCGGGACGCGCTCGTCAGAGATCTGGACGCGCAGGAGAAGCAGTGAGTGGGCGGTGGGCTGGAGTCTCGGTTCTGCTGCCTACTTCAGGGGACCAAAAAGTTTGCTGGAAGTTCAGTCCGGAAGGCTTGGTGGGAAGGGGCAGCCTTGCGCTGGGCCCGGTGGCCCAATAGCGCTGGGGCTCCAAGTGTGGGACAAGAGGAGAGTGCTGCATTGTCTTCCAAGAAGAAAAATAATTTTGTTCCCATTTGACTTCCAGGGCCGAAGAAGAGGATGAGCATCTGGAACGAACTCTGGAGCAAAACAAAGGCAAGATGGCCAAGAAAGAAGAGAAATGTGTTCTGCAATAGCAGCCGAAGGAGTATCTTTCCCAGCATTTTAGAGTCTTGGGTCCCCAGATCAGTAAAAGTCACACTCCTTGTTAATTTAAACTTTTAAAACATTTGCTGGGCTGGATTGTACTTCTTTAGCACCACACCACCATCTCTTTGCCTCCCTCCTTTTCAGATAATATACAGAACTCCAAATTGCTTTAAGGATTTTTGAGTGTGAGTTAAATCACTTCCTTGAAATCTTGTGAAATTGATTTGCACACACCCCTAGTGAGTGATTTGTATTGGGAGTGTTGGGAAACTGTTCAAAAAAGAAAAAGAAAAAAAATCCTTCCTCTTTTTCCCTCTGTTTGGGAAGTACATTTGGAAACATTTTTATTGTTGTTGTTAATAGCATAATGCTGGGGGGGAGGGGTAAAAAGGGAGATAAAATTGTCATGGATGATTTTTTTCCCAGTCCTGCCATCTGTAACACTGACTCTGTTGCCTAAATTTTATAGTTAGATCATACTCAATCTACTTATTAAACTGTGTTGTATTTACCAGTGGGATTTCTGCAGTTGTTTTACGTTTCACTGTGAGGGTAATAGAGTTCCTCTCCTCTGCTTTCCTCAGAGGATGGCCTTTTAACACAGATAAGTCCTGTGATTTGAAGGTTGAGCTATGAGGATAGGACTAATTGACATGCATCAGTTTACAAAGACAGTCTTATCATCTGAGAATGCGCCATCTTTTTCTCTGGATAATTATTTATTACATCTAGCTTGGTTCCTGCATTTTGTTGGATTTCAACATTGGCTCAAGAATGCTGTTAATATTTATTCTGTATTGATAAAAGTCTGTTTTTGCCACTATGAGTAAATCCCCCAATTAATATTTTCTTCTCTAGCATAGCACTGTCATTTTTGTGTGAAAATGGTTATCTGTTTATTTATTATAAAAACTGAGTCATATATAAATTTTCAATAAAAACAAACTTTCTTACCTTAAACACTGCTGCAGCTTCCTTGCAATGAAAATTTGAGACTGGTTTGAGTGCAAGTTTGTGTATTTATAAAACATTTCAGGTTGAAAATGGCCCATCCTCTTTAGTGCAGGCCCAGGATATTGGGCTGTATTTGGAGCTGAATAAGTTTACACCATTCCAGAGGGGGCTGCTGACACACCAATGCAAATTGAAAAGCAATTAGTCATATTTTCTTTAGCAGAGTAAACTATTACCTTTTGTAAGTGGTGTTTCTTGGTCAAGATTTAGAAAATCTGTGATTCCATAGCTGTGGGGAGGAAATGCTAATGTCCAGATGAAATTTCCATATTAATGTTTTCATTTGTTATAATGGTCGTAGTCCTATGAGGAAGAACTATGACTTCTGGTAAGCCGCTGATCTGTGGGTGCTGAAGCTACCCAAGAGGATCATGTTTTGTGGGGGGAGGGTGTGTGTTTAAGTATGTACGCGGTGAGGGGAAGGGAACTTAAGTTCCAGGCTGGGGGGGAGGGGGCAGGAGGGAGGTTAGTTTTCTGGTCATTTCATTGCTCCTCTACAGATGTGTCAGAAACAAAAGGAAAGCTCGTTCAACAAGTCTGGAGGCAGTCTACTGGCATTTATACCTAAGTCGTGCGTCCCCCCCCCCGCACCTTACACGCATATATATATGTATATATATATATCATATATATATATCATATTCACAAACACAAATGTTTATACATATGAGAACTTACAAATTACATTCAAAAACTGCAGCCACTTTGACCCGCTTGTCTTTGAAAATAGTAACTTGCTCCGGTAGAACGCCTCAACACAAAGATTTTAACAAGTTACTGAAAAAGTTATCGAAGCTAAATAAAATCAGATATTTGGCCTCTTCGAGGAAGAAAGCAGAGTCAACTGGCGCTCTGTGCGGGAAATACCCCGAACGCCGCTCTACCCTAACCCCCGGGCAGCCGCAGATGAAACTCGGAGCTGGCCGGGACTCGGGCTGCCACCCGGCCCGTTTACACTGGGGTCAGGGCGCCTTTCCTCCCGAGGAGTCCTGCGGACTGGCGGCTCTCCCAAGCGATCTGTTAAGTATCCAGAGCCCCAGACCTACGATACCCCTCCAGCCCAGCTCCCATCCTCTCGGGGTTTCTGCGGGGGCTGCTGTACGGCACCCGCACGCCCCGCAGCGGCGACCGAGCGCGGATTCCGGGGACTCGCGGAGCCAGGCCTGCGGGCGAGGACGCGGCGTCCCGATTTCGCTGCGTGGTGCCTAGAAGCAGCCTCCTGAGCGCAGACGCGGTCCCAGATGCCGAAGGGCCGGAAACACTAAGTGCGGCGTTGCGGGGAGAAAAGCCGGGGACCTGGGGTCGCAACGCCGGAGCGTTGGCAATGGGCAGGCCTTTGGGCAGAGCCCGTGGGTCGGGGCACAACTTCCGGCCCTGGCAGGATCCCCCGGACCCCAAGCCAAACCCCTCCCCCTGTCCCAAGTGTCCTCCAACTCTAGCCCAGACTCCAGGTCACCTGGATGCTAGATGCGGGTCTCGGACCTGCCTGTGGCCCCGGACGGGAGTTGAGTTGAGTCGACCCCCATTTCGATGATGCCCCCCGCTGTTTCGCTCCCTCTGGTTTCGGCCCTCGCTGCAAACTGCCGCGGTTTCTGGCCCTGTGTCTCCCACCTGGACGCCTGCCTAGCGACGGCCGCCTCAGTCTTCGCCGCCGCGAGCAAGAAACTTTCTACTCAGTCTCTCTCCCTCACTATTCTCCTCCCTCTTCCCTCTCCTCTCGCTCTTTCCTCTTCTAATCCCAGGGTTTTAAAAGGCTGAGCACTAAGAAAATTCGCCTGCAATTTGGGATTAGATAAAGACTCTCATTGGGGGAGGGGGGGTGGAAATCGTGCTACTTGATACCTCCTAACTTCCCCGAGCCCATGACAGCATCTGGAAGCGAAAGCGCCGGACTCGAGCGTGGAGGGCCCTGGGGACCGCCCGAGCACATTCCAACGCGCACCGCCGCCCCTCTTGACCGCGCCCCACCTCGGGCCTGCCTGCTCCAGCCGACTAGATGCAGCCGGCGCGGGGGAGGCAGGCGGGCGGACGGGCTGGCGGGCGGGCGAGTGAGTATTAGCGGGACTGAGACGAGCCAGCGCCCCGGAACCCGAGGGCTAACCCGGACTCACAGCGCGCAGGCCTGGGCAAGGGCACCGCCGCGTTAGCGATGCAGACACCGCGGAAGCGCACCCTGCGACGGCAGCACTCTGCCTCCTCCAAACTCGTGCGCCCCGGTCCGGGCGAGGAGGCCCCGGAGGTTTTCCTTTCTTTCTTTAAACTCAGCACTTCGGACGCCTCGCCCCGCGCCTCGCGGGTTGCTCACGGTGGGGGCCTAAGCGAGCCGAAAGTGCGTCCCCACCGGGACAAGCGCTGCGCTCTATGCAGTTTCTTTTCCTCTTAAGGTTTTTTATCCCCCTCTCCCTTTCTCCTGATCTTTCCTTTCCTCGCATTCTTTTATTCGGTTTTTCTCTCTCTCACTTTCTCTCCCTTTTGTGAATGGACTGCGGTGTCTTTGTTCTGAAGAGAAGCGCCCTTGTTGCTGACTTTTGTGAACCAGAGAAGGATCTTGTAAAACCTTTTCTCCTTCATACTCCCCCCACTCCCACCCCTCCTCCTCTGCCCCTTTGATTAGATGTTCCCTCATCGTCCAAAAAAAATGTAATTTCGTTGGTCTGGCGGCCACTTTCTTTGAACATTAGCTCGCTTTCAGCTCCAACTTCAATTAGAAGGAGTTGATTTTGAGAGATCAACAAAAGAACCGACCAAAGCCTTATTAAAGGTCCTAAGAAGATCTCCCGGGTCCTTTGAGAAGCAGTTAAGGAAACAGTGTGCCCTCCATCATATTCTGTTACCGTATTTTATTCGGACTCCAAAGGAAAGTGTCGCTTGGGGGAGGGGAAAGCACTTTGATGAGCGGCGGCTGCTGCCCCCCTTTCACTGCGCCGGCTCCCCCTTCCTTCTCCTCCACCTCCTCGCCCAGCGCCCGATCCACTCTTCGGGGGCCCGACCCCGCGGCCAGAGCAGCGCAGGAGCGCCCCACCGCGCTGCGCCCGGCGGCTCCTAGACTCGCCTTCACGCTGCTGTGCAAACTTTTCACTCCGCCTGCCGGGGTGAAGGGGAGGGGGATTACGAAGAAAGGACAGGAATTCCTCGAAAGGGAATAAAGTGCCTAATATTCAAGAGGAGGCGCGCTTTTAGAGAATCGCCTCGCTCAGGATTGGGGCGAAAACACTCCCTTTCCCCGCTTGAAAAAGTACACTTTAGGTGGAGGTGCATGAGAAGTTTGTTCTGCTGGGAACGGACCTTTCCCAGTACGAACAATCCGGGGCTACCGCCTCAAAAAGACTCCTACGGAGGCGTAGGGGGAACAAACTGAGGGCAAGGGACCTTGGCCACGTCCAGTCCCACTCCACCACTCCCGGCTGCCCCTGGCAGAAAATCGGGAGGGAGAGCTCGTGGGAGAAAGTTTCCCATCGAGATCTTTCGATCTCAGAAGTCGAGAGTGTGTATAGGGGGGAGGAGGAGGACGCTGAGAGCTAACATTTCAGAAGCGGCTGGTTAAGATTTGCAAACACCCTTCGCGGGACTTGGGAACTCCGGGAGCAGGTAAGTGGCGGTGCCGCCCCAGCGGGTGCCGTTGCTGGGCGCGGGCGTCCTGGGGCGCCGAGGCGAGATCTGCGCGCGGGGAGCCGCTCCCGCGCTCTGCAGAGCAGCCTGTGCCAGCACGAGCCGCCCGCGGCGTCCGTCTGCAGGTGGCGGCGCGGCTCGAGACGCCGCTGGGGCCCGCGGCGCGGAGCGCGGAGTCGGGGGCCCGCTCTCCTCTCGCCCGCGGCTCCGGAGTCCTCGCGCTCACAAACGGGCCGCCCAGCCGAGCGGCACGCGGGAGAGCCAGGGAACCGGTTCTCCAGCACTTCGCCTCCCGGCCGCCACTCCCTCGACCACGCCGAGCGGGCGAGGGAAGGGTGTCGGGGGGCTCTCAGGGGGGCTCGGTTCCGGCGTCTCTCTGCACGGCCGGGGCTCGGGCGCCGCGCTCGCCGGCCTGGCTTAGCTCTGAGCTGCTTTGGGCCAGCCTGAGCCCCGGAGTTAGCGCGCGACCGGGGCGGGGCGGACGGGTGGGGAGGGCGGGGTGCAGGGGGCGGGGGGAGGGCGGGGGCGCGCGGAGGTAACCCCCGGCTCGGGCTGCCATTGCCCGGCGCCCTGTCACTCAGCCCGCGCGGGGCCTGGGATTGGCAGCGGGTCCCCGTTACGCACTCGCCTCGCGTTCACATACCCGGGGAGGGCAGTAGAAAGGTGATCAATCTTCATCAGGCTACATTTCCAATCACCTAAACAACCGAGCAAGACAAGCCACTCCGACAAGGTAAATCGCTTGATTTATTTAGTTTGCAAAGTGCCCCGACAGGACTCCCCCCAACCCCCACAGCCTCCACCTTGTACCGGGAGGGCCACCGCAGCGGCGAGCCACCTCCCAACTCTGCCTGCCGCCCCCCACCCCCACTCCTTGCGGCACCTCCGCGCGGCCCCGGACGAGGTGGTGTCTCCTCAGCGTGTGCGGCTTTGCAAACAAAGTGTGCAATAAAGTGAAACCTGGAAGGACACGCACAAAGCCCCAGGAAAGGCAGAGTCGGGAGGAGGGAAGTTAGGGGAAGAAAGAACCCCGGGGGTCCGAGCGCGGCCGCGCAGTCGGCGGGTGACCCCAGTGCCGCTCTGTTTTGCAGGTTGGTTACCCGGCGGGGTCGTGTGCGGGCGCGAGGTAGATGGTGAGCGGCCCCGGCAGCTGAGGGCAGGTAAGGAGAAAGCCGCGGGACAGCCCGGGACTCGGGGCTCTCAGGGGTAACTATGGCCTCTCCCTTCCTCAAAGGGGGTCTCGGTTTTCCGGGTCCCTGGCAGGTGGGCGGGGCTGGGAAGCCGCCTGGTGCCCAGCTCGGTTCGCCGGGACCCGGGTGTACCGCAGCGGCCCTGCGCCTTCTCCCCCGCCTCCTCCGAAGTCACCAAGCTGAAGTCTAAGTTTGGACAAAGTCTTAGAAAACTCGGGCCGCAACCGGGCAGAGTTCTGCGGCTTCAACCCGTTCTCCTTCGGCCCCCTTAACCCGGGCCATGACCCGCTCGCCCGTTTCCCTACACTCCGGCCTTCCCCAGCCCAGGCCTGGGACCCCGATCTGGAAGCGAGAGGCTTCTTGCAGCTCCATCTTCTCGCCCTCAACTCTCCAGACCGGGTTCCGGGCCTGCATCGTGTTCCCGCGAAGCTGGGCTGAAGTGTCTGGACGTCTGGGGCTCCAGTCCCACGCGTCCTGCTCCACTTCCAGACTTCTACAGGAGCGCTTCGGGTTTTGAAGTATCTGGGAAAGCGATGCGCGACCTCCCAGCCCAGGTCGATCCGGAGCTCCGCGGTCGAGGCCTACTTTTTCAGTCTCTATGGGTTCCTGAGGCGCTCAGGCCTCCCAGATTCCGGAGAGTCTCGAGCAATCTTTTCTGGGAGACCCCACTGTCCCCAGTCAACATGGGACTGAAGGAAGGGCTGGCTTGGGTAAGCGTAGAAAGACCTGCAAGGCCAGAAGTGTGGCCCACTTCTAAGGTGGCCCCTTTTCTGCCTTCTGACTTCCTCTGCAGGGCCCAGCTCTGCTACAATTCAGGGGCAGTGGGGTTCCGGGTGAGCCATCTTTCCGTGGCTGGGCAAGCAGAGTTCACAGGAGGGATGGCTGTGGACTCTGGGGCCAGAACCCCAGCTCTGCCTCCTAGTCTGGAAGGAATCTGCCTTGTACTCTGAGAGCAATGTACCCTGAGAGGCGGAGAACTACCTCCTCTAGAAAATCTCACCGTGGTCTTCTGGAGTCTCTCTTCATCCCGCTTTCAAAAACGTTTGAAACGAAACAACCCTCAGTGCTGTGGGCTGCAGGCTGTCTTGGCGGGTTCGAAAAGAATGGTTGTGTGCGCATATGAGACCGGCTGCTACGGAACTGTGATTTCACTGAGGCTTTAGAACATTGTAAACCCCACCTTTCAGCAGACCTCTCCCACCTGGTCTGACTTTTACCAACTCTCCTCACTTCTAGAGACACTCTGCTGTTTGTGTCGTTTACCCATAGCAAGCCCAAAAACCATGACGATCTTTAAAAGTTTACTTTTCAAAGAAGCTGGTGGCCGGGCCTTGTAAAACTTGGGTGCCCCCTCTCCATCAGTGGTGGCTCCGAATGAAGCTTGATTTCTGCGTTCCCCCTGTATTGTTAGGACAGCCCGCAGAAGGAACTGAGCTTGAAGGACTGCGCGGTGGTGGGAGCCCCGCACTGCGCCCATCCGGCTCCCTGGATCCGTCGGGGTGCCTCCACCCGGCTGTTAGCATGATGTCTTACCTCAAACAACCACCATACGGCATGAATGGGCTTGGCCTGGCTGGGCCCGCCATGGACCTGCTGCACCCCTCCGTGGGCTATCCTGGTAAGCACCGGCCCTCCTGTCCCCACCGCCTTGTGCAAATCTTGGCGGATTCCTAGCCTCTTGGGTTAGAGCTCATACTTTGTGTCCCAGGAGGCACAAGATTTCAGTTGCTTGGTCTGTGAAACTAGCTGGCTGCAGGCACTCTGGACAGAGGGGTGAGGCCAGCCTGCAGGCAGGCCGAAAACGTTGTTTCTTTCTTTGCCCTCCACCTCTTTGCAACCTGCTTCCTGTTGTGATCCCCCACTAGCTCAGAACACATTTATCCCACAATTCTGTTCCCTCAGAAGTTCGCCATGTGTCTGTATTTCTTTTCCCCAACAAGGAGTGGATTCTTGCTGGACCCAGCCAGAATGAGCCTAGCTTTCCTCATGGGAAACTGTAGGCTGAATAGAGAAAGGTTTCTCCCTCCCTGGTTAATTGCTCTCTAGATCTGTGGCCTGTATCAACTTTTGCACTGCTGGTATGACTGGAGTGGAAATTTTGGCCCTCATTTATTTCCATCTTCTCTCTCACATACATTTATTCCCTCAGAAAGTGTTTTCTAGGTCCTACCTGCTTAGCCCCTTCCCCATTCCCTAGCAAGGGGCTGTGTTGGGGAGAGGGGTATCAAGAAAGGAGACTGTGTCCCATCCCTCTTAACCTCTAAAACTCTGGGAGAAGGAGACCACAGGAGTCTTGAGCTCTGGTTCCCAGGAGCTCAGATGTGCTTTCTCCCACCTGTGGCCTCTCAGACTTGGCCTTCCCCGGGAATTCTTTTGCCCAGAGCTAAGTACTTCCCCCACCCCCCAACCCCCAACAGTCCGGCTCAGGACCTGCTGGGAGCCTGCCCAAGCCCTTTTGCGGCCACCGCTGACCTGAGGCACTTGTCTCCTCAGCCACACCAAGAAAGCAGCGGCGGGAGCGCACCACGTTCACACGCTCGCAACTGGACGTGCTCGAGGCGCTCTTCGCCAAGACTCGATACCCTGACATCTTCATGCGCGAGGAGGTGGCGCTCAAGATCAATCTGCCGGAGTCCCGAGTCCAGGTGCGCGCGGCAGAGGCGCCGGTGTGGTGGGAGAGGTTCGGGAAAGGGTGGTCGCTGTGGGGGCGGGCCCACAGACCTTGGGTAGCCCCTCTCAGACTCCCCCTAGCGCTCAGCCGGGGCCTGGAAGAGGAGGCCGATTTCAAGCAACTAGTTTAGAGCGCTGGATCAGGTAGGCCTTTGGCTTGGGGCACCCTCGTACTGAAAGTACCTTTTAGGGTTGCAGGAAGACAAGCGTGAATTGCCCGGAGGGCCCAACGCTTTTTAGACCTCCTAAGACCTAGCAGTTTCGTTCCGGGTCTCGAATTCCGCCTCCGCCCTCGCACTCAAGCCGGAGATCCTGAAAAAGAAAGAGTGGAGCTTGGCCAGAGCTGGTGCCCTGTCCAGGAGCGCGCTCCGTGCTGGCGCCGATCCGATTGGAGGGCTGTTTTGTCAGAAAGGACACCAAAAGAAAACCTCAGTTCTGGCTTTGCTGTTTTGTTGTTTTGTTTTACTTTTTAAAAAAAATTTTTTTTTTCTTGATGGAAAGCCCCCAAAGTTTAGAATCCCTATTTGGATTCTAATTCAGAATTTTCCCCAAGGGTCTTTGATCTCTACTTCTTTCCCTGGAGTGCTGAGAGAAATCTGGACCGCCTTTCTATGTACAGGGCCCTTCCAGAGAAGTGAGAACTTTATGGCGGACTCTCCTATATGGGTTCCCACCTGGATTCAAGGAGCCCAACGAAAATCTGGCCAGGCCTTCATTACGGGCCAACTTGGGTACTGCCTCAATTCACATCCCCCGCTTAGCTCATGCCCAGAGTTAAATTCTCCTCCTGCGTACAATGCATACCTTCAGAGGGGCCAGCTGGTCCCGGTTTGGTTGTCTATCCCGCACTCGAAGGCCTTTTTGGAAACTCCGATGTTTATTGAGTTCTGATCACAGAAGATAGTCATCAAACTTAGACACAAGGTGCCGGGAAGCAACCAACAGGCACAGTTCAGGAGATGGCCGTGCTTGTGGCTAGGCAGACGCTGAAATCTTTCACCCTAGAGCAGAATTTCACCAGGGACTGGGGAGTTTGGGGTGAACATCTCTGAAGCTGTTAGAAAAGGGCCTTTGAGCAGAAGGATGGGAAAGAGTTTTGAGAAGTTAGAGGCAGGGTCTGGTCGGAGCAGAGGTTGGGGAGGGGCGGGAGCGTGGGTAGGAGAGATTCTAGGTCGTGCGTGTATCCAAAGGGCGGGGGAGCAGCCAGCTTGTCGGCACCCCCTTCCCCCTCCTGCTGACACGGTCTTCCCCGCCCGGCTCGCCGCAGGTGTGGTTCAAGAACCGCCGAGCCAAATGCCGGCAGCAGCAGCAGAGCGGCAGCGGGACCAAAAGCCGCCCAGCCAAGAAGAAATCATCCCCGGTGCGGGAAAGTTCAGGCTCCGAAAGCAGCGGCCAGTTCACGCCACCCGCTGTGTCCAGCTCCGCCTCGTCTTCTAGCTCGGCGTCCAGCGCCTCCGCCAATCCAGCCGCCGCCGCCGCAGGGCTAGGGGGAAACCCGGCGGTGGCCGTGCCGTCGTCGCTGAGTGCGCCGGCGGCCTCATCCATCTGGAGTCCAGCCTCCATCTCGCCCGGCTCGGCGCCCGCGTCGGTATCCGTGCCCGAGCCATTGGCTGCACCTAGCAACGCATCCTGTATGCAGCGCTCGGTGGCCGCTGGCGCCGCTTCAGCTGCAGCCTCGTACCCTATGTCCTACGGCCAAGGCGGCAGCTACGGCCAGGGCTATCCCGCGCCCTCTTCTTCCTACTTTGGCGGCGTGGACTGCAGCTCTTATCTGGCGCCCATGCACTCGCACCACCACCCGCACCAGCTCAGCCCGATGGCTCCCTCCTCCATGGCGGGCCACCATCACCATCATCCTCACGCACACCACCCGTTGAGCCAGTCCTCGGGCCACCATCACCACCACCACCACCACCATCACCAGGGGTATGGCGGCTCGGGGCTTGCTTTCAATTCTGCCGACTGCTTGGATTACAAGGAACCTGGCGCCGCTGCTGCTTCCACGGCATGGAAACTCAATTTCAACTCGCCCGACTGTCTAGACTATAAGGACCAAGCTTCATGGCGGTTCCAGGTCTTGTGAGCCCAGGAGTGGGAGGAAAAGGAGAAGAAACGCAACTACCTGCGCCCTCTGTGGTCCCCCGTCCTGTTGCTGCTGCTGTACCGCCCGCCTTTGCCTCGTCTTCTCCAGACCTGAATTTTCACATCCCTAAAAGATGCCCATGCACTGCCGTCCTCATCTCATCGTTGTGCCCCTTGCTTGGGGGATGTGCAAAACCGTTCCACCCCTTGGATGAAGGGTCCGGTGCCTCGGCTTGGCCCACAAGTTCTACGGGGGATTTGGGGGGGGGGGGGCGGGGAAGCGGTGCGGTGTGCTCGCCTCTTCAACTCCTAACAAACTCCTAAAGTTACTCCCTTTCAATCTATCTAGACTGTTGTTATGCACTTGCATTCTTCTGGGGCTCTTCGCTCTGACTAGCTGTTTGAACCCTACGCTTTTATTTATTCTTTCTGGACACTGGAGTCACTGACTGGCATGTGTCTGCCCATACGGAGTGCACCCACAGTCTACACCAATTAAAACAACCACCAAGTGTTTCTTTCCAGAAGACTGCCGCCCCTTCAGTTGCCCGCCCCCATCTATGCCTGCAGGCCAGAGCTTCTGGGCGTTTCCTTATTCTCAGCGGACTCGCTGGGGTCAGGTCGGCCGGACTAGTGTCCCCTCCCCCCCCCCCCCAGCTTCTCCTGCACAGCCCCACCCTGCGTAGAACTGGCTCAAGCTTCCGCCTAGGCGGGAATGCTGTACATAGTCCGGCCCGTTCCAGGGACCACTTAAACTTTTTAGTTGCTGTTGGTTGAACTGAACATATCTGGTTTTAGCGCCCAGGAAATAGAACTTTAAGATATATACAGCATATATAAATATATATACACATATATATATAACAAAAGCAAAAATATTCTCCCTTTTCCTCTATTCCTCAAATGATGGCGCTTTTACTTTTTCAGTTGTTGCAAGCTGTCTTGCCCTCTCACACTTTCTTCCTCTGTGTATTTATTCATGAAAATCACTCGATTCCAGAAAGCTGGGCGCGAAACAAGACAGGGAAGATCCCATAGTGTGGAGGAAACAGCCAAGTCAGGGTACAGGAGAGCGAGCTAGGCTGGGTAGGAGGACTAAACCCTTCACCAGGTCTACGCACGCAGTTCTGGTTTAGACACCAAAACCAAAAAAATCGTAAACATCAACAAAAAAACAAACAAAAAATCAAAAACAAAAAAACAGCGTTATGAAAAAACAAACAAACCCAGCCCCACCCTATCCCCAGTTTCAATTCCTCTGTCTGCTTGTCTCTCTTTAAACAACCCTGTTTTGTCTAGTGAGTTTTTAGTGCACCTTCATTCTCCGAAATCTAAGGAGAGTCTGCACTTGTGTATCAATTTTGGCTTGGGCCGTTTCGTCCAGTAGGTGGGAAAGTAATTTGTAAATTTGATTTGTCCAATGTGAAGATCACAAATTACTTGTTGAAATGTAAGGCAGTCCCCTTCCTCCCCCTTTATCTACATTATTTCCCGAAAATAAATGCAAATTAATGAATGACTTCTCAGTGTTGCTCTTCTGATTTCAGTCCCAGGTCCGGGTCTCCAGGGGCCAAAAAGAAAGAAAACTCCCGTGCTAATAACCGGCGTTTGAATGACCCGTGTGAGCCGGAGGGCGAGAGGCTGGGCCAGAAGAGCCCCCAGGAACGTTCTCGGAGGGCGTGTCTGCGTCAGCCGATCTCTTCCTCTGGGCGCTTTGAGCCCCTATCCCTTCTCCTCATCCAGGACAGAGACAGGTGTCAGGACTCAATTCCTAAAGCAATTGCTTTCTCTTCTGAGCCAGGATCCTGGCACTGATTTCTTCACCCTAATTGCTTGCACCAGAAGAGGGGGAGGGGAAAGGGTCTGGAGGCGGGAAACGATAGCTCTGAAATGCTCTCCGAGCTCAGCCAAAAAGAGAAAATGAAACGACCAAAAGAAAAAACCAAAACAAAATAAAACAAAAAAGTGATCCCTGACCTGCGTTTTGGCAGCAAGCAACCTTTCTTTCAGCTGAGCTACCTCGAGGGGGCCTCGGTGGCTGGGGGGAGTCGTTTCTCCCACGTGCTAAGGCGTCCTTCTTAACCCTACCCAGCTGCCAGAAGTAGCCAAATCAATCGTTATTCGTACTGTAAAGGTTCTTTACAATGTAAATCCCAAGTCGAGGAAGGTCTACAAGGACCCATTTCACTTTGGCAGGGGAAGAACGCTCCGGGTTTGTCTTGCAGCAAGGATCACAAAGGGCTGTCCCCTCTGCCCCTCTGGAAAGACCCGGGAGGAGTGGTGGTGGCGGAGGTAGAGGAGGGTGGGATGAGCCTTCAGAAAACCCGGCACTGTCCAGACGATTTGGCCTGAAACCAGGGTGTCAGGCCGAGCAGCCGCTCAACTTCTCCACCGCCAGGGAAGAAATAAGGACACATCGAATAGTTCCCTGGGAAGTGACCAACACCCCTTATTCTTTTGATTCCGTGAGATCCCCGAGAACAGGACGTGAGGCTGGGTTTGGAGAGCGACCCTTTTCCAGGGGTGCGGCGCCGAGCGGAGGCTCCGTGCTGAGAGCCCCCAACAATCGGAAAGCCTCGGCTGCAGCCTCGGGAGGCTGGAATCGGAGGCGTTAGCCCCGCTCCCTGTTCGGGTCACAGCCTCCCAGCCGCAAAGGTCCGCCGGAACCCCGGCCCGGGGATGCACAGGCCGAGGCTCCCGCGAGGGTTTCTCCTGGGGCCGCGCCGCCACTGAAGCCCGGAGCCCGCACGTGCCAGGGAGGCCGGGCCGCCACCCGGCGCGGAGGCTCGCAGCTCCCGCCGCACTTGCTGGAAACACCCCCTCACCCCCCCGCGGCTCGGCCTCGCGGCCGCTCCCCAACCCGACCCTGCCAGTCCCGCTCCGGGGCGCCCAGGTTCACGCGAGAGCTGCCAGCCCCGCTCTCCGCCCAGGTGCCAGGCTGCCCCCCACTCGCAGAACCCCGAGGGGGCTCCGATCCGAGGCCCTCCGGGAGGCTCTAGAGAACGCAACCAGAAGTCTCGGCTTGGCACCCGCTCCGACCACGGTGTGACTTCCGGAGAAAGGTAGTCCCACCCTTGGGCCTCAGTTTCCTCGCACTCAGGACTTGAGCCCCCTCCCCCAGCCTCACAACCCCCGCCCCCACCCAGCCCCTTGGCTCGGGACATTCCACAACTTCAAGGTCGCTCGGGTAGAGGCAGTTGCCTTCCCCAGTGGTCCGGTCAGTCGGCGGGGTGACGTCTAGAAACTTCGGCGCCTGCACACTTGGGCAGACCTGGACACACAACCGGGTGCAGGCGGCCGGGCGGGAGTTCCCGCGGGGGAACGAGGCGTCAAGGCGAGGCACGTGCTCTGCCCAGCGTCTCCCAGCCCAGCCGGCCCCGGGCACCGGCTGGGAAGCGGGCGTGGGAAGGCGCGGGGCATCTCAGGACGCTGGGACGCTGCTGCCTGGGGGAGCGGGGTGAGTGCGTGGCGGCGGCGGGGGGTAACCTGCCGGGCAGACTGTGGGTGCTCGCGCCGCGGGAGTCCCCAGGCGCTGCCGGCGGCGGCGAAGGCTGGAGCGCGCGCCCTCGGCCACCTGTTACCAAGCAGGTTCTCTAAGCAGGTCCTTGTCCTTAGTTGGCCCTTTGTCCTGTGTTTGTTCTATTCAACTTCTGGTTTTTGACTCAGCTGAAGCATCTAGAAATTGAGAAGCTTCAGAAAAAGTCAGTGTTCAGACGTGGACGAGTTTCTTTCTTTGGGTGCTCAACGAAATCTTCATGTTTTCTACTCTCAGCTTGCTTTTTCTGCTCACATTCTAGAGGCAAAATGCCTACCTTTACCCTAACGTGTGTGGAGTGCTTTTGGGATAAATAATAGGTACTATTTGTGATTTTTTTTAAAAAAATTGCCGCAACACCCCCCCAAAAAAAACCCAAAAGAAAAAACAAAACTCAAAGCTTTCTCCAGAGCCCCGTATTAATTTGCTGAAGCAAAGTGGTCTTGTTGTTGCAGAGCTTTTCAGTATTCTTTTATCATAGCTACTGAGGGCACAACGGACTTAGCATTTCTCAAAATTGTAAAAAAAAAAAAAAGTAGAGAAAATAAATCCTTAAAGCTAGAGGAAGAACAGGGAATATACACTGAAGCTGGTGAAGTTGGTGTTGCTTTACAGGGATCAACAAAAAAAATGGTTTCATTTCTTATGTATGCCAATACCAAAGTACTAGGGGTTTTTTTTGGGGGGGGGAGGGTTGCATGCGTTCTCTTCAGAATAGTAGTTTCCGCAGATATGTAGTGATTTAAATTTTTTTAAACTACACGCTCTGGCAGAATTTATTAATGTTAATGTGTCATTAAAACATGTCAGACACTAAAGTATTTTTTAGATATAAAGAAATAAAGTGTATCTGATAGAGAAGTGTAGTTAATATATACATTATTGGTAAAGAAAATCTGTATCATTACTATTCAGGACCCAAAAAAAAAATCACTTGGCTTCTGATGTAGAGTTAATTTAAGAACGATAGGAAGATATCTTTTAAAAGTTCCTTAATTGAAAACCGAACAAGTTCTCTCGGCAACTTAGTCTATATTTTCCACACTTCATCTCCCTTCCCCCATACATTTTAATATCTCAAATGAGAATGAAAAGAACTCATTAAGTTTAAAGAATATTTATGTTCAACAATTTTGCTTTTAGTAAAAAACAACAACTGAAAATTAATACTAAAAATAATGCATTGTTCACTTGACAATAAACAAACTTCTTCGTTACCTTAAATAATAAATATGCTTAATTGTTTGGGTGTAAAGGATATACTTTTTGTAACGAGAAACTTTTAAAGTGAGTGTTTAGAAGATGGTTCCCAAAAGGGCACTTAAGTCTCTTACTCAGCTTGATTTCTTGAAAAAAGAATTGAATTTTTTTTGGCGGGGGAGGGGAATATGCCATTTTAACCTAATGATTCTTTAGTCATGATTATAATCTTTTTTCAGGTCTTAATTTTCTTTGCAAAAAATACTCTAGTATTGTATGTGAAATGGCAGTTACATAAAACAGGCAAATAAGAAATTCTAAAATATATTCAGTTTATTCTTAAAGGGAAAAATTAAGCAGAGTGTGGTGTGCTCACAACTAAAGTGCATATTCCTCTAAGTATAAATTTGTACATAATATTTCCAGTAATATTTCTTCAAAGAAAAAGTCGGGCTTAAAATATTTTGGAATTTTTTCCAATCAAATAGGACTTCAAGTCAATGTAATCAATGATGACCCATCAA